CGGGGAAACGGCCGGGTGCGGCGGGAAAACGGCCGGGCGCGGCGCAGCGGGAAAACGGCCAGGCGCTGCGCGGCGGGGAAACGGCCGGGTGCGGCGGGAAAACCGCCGGGCGCGGCGCAGCGGGAAAACGGCCAGGCGCTGCGCGGCGGGGAAACGGCCGGGCGCTGTGTGGCGGAAAAATGGCCATGGACCATATGTCAGGGGTGGAAAAATGACCATACCCTGAGGCGGAGTTCGCACATCGAGGTAAATTTTTGCGGCTGGAGCTGGTCGTAACCCGAAAAGTTTGTTAGTAGAGGCGTTCGTATCCCGAGGTACCACTGTATTTGGAAAGATAGCAGAAAAGGTCTTGGCTCTCTCCAGAAGTCCTCTGGCAACTCCTGGAATTCCCAGGTAGCTTAACTTTCATTATGTTGCAATCTCAATGTAGCTGGAGTCAGATTGAGAAAAGGTTATGCAACTACTCAAATGCTGAGCCTTTGGCTACAACACGTTTGATTCTGTGTCAGACTGGTGAGCAGCACAGGATTTATTGCCAGTGATCCAGACATCCTGGTGCTACTGAAACAGGAGAGCAAATCTTGGATTACAGGTAGTCCTTGCTTAACGATCCTAACTGGGACCAGAATTTCCATTGCTAAGCGATGCAGTCATCAGGCAAAACATCACGTGACCACAATGCTTAGTGATGGCAGTTTCAGTAGTCCTGCTTGTGGTCATTAGGCCAGGACCTCATACTTCTTCTTCCCTGACTCTGCTTCAACTCCCCTCACCCACCTATCTCCTCCCTCAACTCTTTTTTTAATATAATTTTATTGAAGAAATCTCCCTGCACTGCACCCTGCACTCCCACCACCCCTGCCATCCTGCCCACCACAGCTGCCGCTCTGCCCGCCACCACTGCTGCCACTCTGCACTCCACCCTGCACCTCTGCTGCCCTGCACTCCACCACCCCTGCTGCCCTGCATTCTGCCACCCCAGCCTGCCACCCTGTACCCTCGTGGCCCTGCACTCCGCTGCCTCGGGAAACCCTTGCACAACCAGCAGCTGCCTTGCGAAGGGCTAGGCTGGGCATGCCTCGTCAGCAACAGGAGGAAGACAACAGCGAAGGTCAGCAGGGGTGGCGGAGTACAGGGCGGCTGACAGGGTGGTGGGGATGGCAGGGACATGAAAGGCAGGGTGGGCAAATGGGCAGAGATGGAGGAAGAAAGGCAGGTGGGGAGAGCTGAAGCACACTCTGCGATCATAAATGGGGCAGGCTGCCAAGCACCTGAATTTGGTCATGTGACCACAAGGGTACCGTACTGTCATAACTTTGAACAGTTTGGTCATTAATCGAGGATTACTTATATAAAGGATTTAGTACTTTATTTATGATATACTTTCTGAAATGTTTCAGCACATGCCGTATGCAGCCAACTTTGTCGGGGGCTGGAAGCTAAGCAGGGTGAGGGTTAATTATAGTTTGGAACCCCCACCAGGGTTGTGCCTAATTAGTATTTGGATGGGAGAAAACCAAAAATAGAGATTAGAATGGAAATATAAGAAGGCAATGGCAATGTAAATAGCAGGAGTTATGTTCAATAGACAATAATAAAGAGACATTCTCTGTCTTAAAGAAATTTAGATCAATTCAACATCAGAGATCTGTCCAGATTCTGGAATTAACTGTAAATTGGGCAAAATTTATCCAGATCCCATGATGGAACCATTATACTTTTTATATAACTAAATATATTTATATAACACAGTATCTTCAAGATTAAGTTTTTGTATGCATAACTTGAAAGCCTTCTGAAATGCAGTCTGAGGAATTGTTAGCCACCAAGTATGAGTGGTGGAGAAACTTACCCTAGAAATGCCAACAATCTGCTCATCTGGGAGTAAACTGATGCGCACAAAGCAGGATTCAAAATTTACATCTTCCTTCTCCATAAGATCTTTTCCCTGCAGCAAGGTGATGTGCAAGGTATTAGAATTCACACTGTATTCCATATTAACTTCGACTTGTCCCACTGTGAATTCTTGACCAAAGTTATTTCCAATGGAGGAGACAGAACTTAGAGAGTCAGTGGAGACTGATTTTTTCAATGGCCCATAAGTAGTCAGCTCAAGGTCTTTGTTCATCAGCTCCAAAGAGCCCAACTCATTAATATTTTCAAAGGCATCATCCATTTTCAGGCTTTGCCTGCAGACAGGAGATAGTCTTTCTCCTGCCTTTCGGAAGTTGCTGGTCCCCCTCTGCAAACAATAAGAACAGAAAGCCAGTCAGAGGCCATGATTAACCTGAACTTCAGAATGCTCACTGCTGAATGTAGAACATATGATTTTAATTATTTATAATTATAGGCTGGCAGAAAGAAAACATTCAGAACCAAGTGGACAAGAATATACCATATATCATGAAAATAAGTTTTCACACTGTGAAAAACTGACACTGTCACCCTCTCCTTCCAGAAAACATTCCCTTTGTTAAAAATAGGTACTTTCCAACGCAAAGAGACATTGAAGGAAATTACAACTGAATTAAAAGTCAGGTCTTGCAGATGTTCACTACATAGCTGTGTGTCAGTTCAAGCATCACAACATCATCACAAACAGCAGGGGCAAGAAGTTAGCTCTGCTGTTGATACTGGAGCGCTGCCTATTTTATTGATAATTCTGGTCCCGCGGAAGTATCAAAGGACTCATGGCAATTCTCTTAAGTCTATTATTTTTAAAACTGTATTCACAATCAACAGTTGGACTTGTCTTTTTGGGGAAAGTGTAAATGTGTGCTAAAGCTAGCTTTTCATTCAGCTGTAATTTCTGAGTGCCAAAAAGAACAAATATTTTGACGGCATCTTAAATAACAAAAATATACTAATATTAGCCTTCGTAGGCAAGACACAGTTGCATTTTTTCCCCATCTTCGTCTACATTTTTTCTCTGAATTTTCAGGTCACACACATTTATTTTGTTTTCAGTTCTGAAGCCAGTTTTATTCCTTCCATTTCTTTGTGGTACACATTACCTTTATGGACTGCATTTAATCCTATCAATATTTATGAAGAGATCTATACATTGTTTTGACAAAAATGATTCTAAATTTAAGTTCTAGAGGAGGAAACAAGTGAGAGTCTTCAGAAAATGTATCTATACCAGAAACTGCGTGTATGCAATGTTGTTTAAACTATGTCTGAAACTGCACAGTCTGTACTAATTAAAAGTGCACTATTAGGAAAATGCCGTATTGAGTATCAGATTGGTGCAAATAGCTCAGTTCTGTCTACTTGAAATGGCAGCAGCTCTTCAGAGATTTAGACTGGGTTCTTGCCAGACCTACCCTGAAAATGACAGGAACTGAAATGGAGATCTTCCACATGCAAAACATGCAATTTACTATTAGACTACAACTTTCTACTGCTTGTTAATTTGATTAAAAAATCACTGACATCATCAACTTCCACACAATGCTTTAAAAATCAGATCCCGAAATAAAAATATCTCTCTTGCCTTCACACATGCATAGACAGGTAACCTAGACTGTGCTACATAATGTGAAATTAGAATTATGGCTTTACCTTATTAAACCCTCATCTGTGACGCACTGTATTAACTCAGACTGAGCATCAATAACCCAGCATATGCAGCCTCAAGTTTGCCTTTGTTTGCCAATGATAATAATCCTACTAAAGGCTTCAAAACTGCATCTAATCTCTGCTTCCTTTCTCCCATCAGCCTTCCCTGCCTGCCTGTGGATTGGGTATGAAGATAAAAACATTTGTTATATCCATTTATGAGCCAAATAACTATGGAGAAAAAAGCCAAAATTGTATTTTGGAAGGAAACGTGTAACATTCTCAAAAACCTATTGAAAGAATCTGCCAAACTCAATTCCTAATAAAGTAAATCTCAGTGAACTTGAGAATAAATTCAAATAAGAATTTCTTTATTGAAAAGCAGTCTACAGTTCTAAGTTATTGCCAAGACTAAAAGTCCGCGCACACCAAACCCCTTTTTCTTCCCCTTGCCTTTAGCCCCCTTTTCCCAGTCCATCCCTTTCATGTTCTCAGCTCCTCTTGGGTCTCAGGCTGGTATGAACTTGGTTGTCTCTGGGAACTTAATACCAGTCCACCTGCACCTAATGGTTCTTTCTCCCTCTCCCCCTTTTTTCAAAATGGCAGAAACAAAGCTGATTAACTATTTAATTGATTGCGAGGCTTCTGGCACCTATTCCCAGAGGGCTGTGTAATCTATCACAAATATGTACTCCGAAAGGAAATACAGGACAAATTATTCTCATTGATCAAGTGAATAGGAATATTTAGTATTTAATATTAATATTTAGAGTCTTTCAGATCTTAGTTCTTTGACTGGATTTTGCAAATGGATTCTATTCTCAGCAACAATTTTCATTTTAAGATGGACTCTGAATTGCTGACTTCTTGGCTGAAATGTTTGGCCTAATTTGGGACTTTTTTGCTTCTTTCCCATCCCTTGTTTTTCTATCATCTTAAATGATTAAAAGCTCCAAAGCTTCTCCGGTCTTTTAAGGCATTTTAGTCACTCTAATAAAAAAAATTACTCAACTATGAATTTTTTAGGGGAAAAAAGGCCCATGGAGTAACATAGCTATATTACTTGTTAGCCATTTATAAGAAGATACCCAAGAGAAATCTGACCACGGTCATTGACTTGTTTCACTGAATTCAAACCCACATTCCACAGTGTTGGGTTTGGGGATTTGGAAAGGAGATTGTTAAATGGCCAGAAAAACCAGTTAGAATTTATCAAACTTATTGGTCAAATCTCAGTTCATCATGCTTTTGCTAGGAAGACTGCTAACTACATAGTCAGTCTGCATTCTTTCCTTTTTCTCTCCAATGTGTATATCATAAGATTGGGGAAGGATAGAGAATGAGAATATACTTTAAGACACCTTGGGAGAGCTGATGTCAGTGGATCTGCTAATAGGCATATTTAAATTGTGCCCTCTACTTAAGCTCTTACTGAATTACCTTCATTTCCTTTGATGTTTTCTTTTAAAATATCTTGGAGAATTTCTTTTCTTTGGACTATAAGCTAATACAAAGAGAAGATCTTTTCTCTCATGGGACTTCTGCTGCTTAGAAGCCAACTGGGTCAATGTTGAGGGTTTTTTTAATATAGTTTTCTTGCAAGTTTTAAAAACAAGAGTAAAAATTAATACAAACTAAAATAGAGTAAAAAGGAAAAAAATAAAAAAATAAGAGAAAGCTAAAGTGCAAAAAAAAAGAAAAATAGAAAAAAAAGATATCAAGTAGCTTCTGATCTTCTTTACAGCTGCTTTAAGTACAATTGTAGATTTACCTCTTTCTCTAAAGTTACATCATGACTCTCTTCTTTCTATAATCGATCCTATCTAATTGTCAAAACTGTAGATCATAGGTTCATTTTTTTTCTGTTTTACTCAAAAAGTCCATAAGGGGTTTCCAGGCAGCAATAAATGTAGATATTATATTTTCTGCAATCAAACAGGTCAATTTGGGGTCAATGTTGAGTTTCCTTTAAGGCCTTCACTAATTTAAAAGTGCACTGTATTATTTTGTATTAGAATAGGCTTTTGTGTTTTATTGGATTACTTATACTATTCTGATTCATTTATAACAAGCTTTGAGTCTGTGCTTGACATGGATCTTGTCAAGGTCCAATAAATCAGGGACTGGTGAGTGAGATTTAAAATATAGCATAAAGCTGGCTGTTGAGTCCATTCCTTGCTTAGGTCTTCTCCTTAAAAAACTGTTTCCTGCCCCCTGCCATTCTTTTTATGACAGAATTATTTGGTTTGAGTGGTACAATTAGAGGGAAATGGCTAGGGGGATGGATTTAAGGAGAGCAAAGAGGAAAAAGAAAGTTGAACAATCCATCCCACTCATTATTTAGGTACATTTAAGTTTCCCCAAAGTTTCCCCAAGTGCTATTACCACTACTACTGCAAATTTACCTTTAGAATTTGGTGTAAAAGTATTTTAACCAATTCAGAATTATTATCTCACAATTTTTATATAGGATAACTGAGTATTTTAAGCAAATAAACAAGTAAATCAGCAAACGAAGAGGGCCGTGACTAAAGGGCTAAAATCCTTAGGAGCCTCTTCTGAGTGTATTTTCCATTTAGACAACAGCTGAGTTTTAAAGCCTTTACATTTTCTATGGATTTCTTACATTTATATATTGCTATTCTAGCAATGCATATAGGGCAGTTCACAGGCAAAAATCAAGTATTCATAATGTAACAGCTACAATGTAAAAAAAAAAGTGGGAGGAGAAAGTTAAGGGAGAAAAACAAACCTCAGGAACCACATGAGAGAGATATGGGAGAGGAAGTGCCAAATGGCAGCTGATTTCAGCCTTTGGCAGCAATGCTAGACCCTGTGCCCTCCCTGTGCCATCTTATGCCTAGCTGAAATAATTGCACAATTTTCATTTGTTAAACCTACCCCAGTCTTTTCAAAATATATAGTCTTGTTATCATAATCACCACCATCTCAACTTGGAATATAGAAGACAAAATTAAGAGTGGGATGTTCATTAAATGAAGTATGATGATATGCAAAGATGACAGAGGCAAAGGCAATGGATGGGCTTAACACTGTTGTCACAATTAACTGCTCCTTACCTTTTGTTTGATTTGAGAATACGTGGACCCATACTTTTGTTCTAGGTATCTGTAGTCATAGTTTGGAAATGGAGAAGGTGCAGGATAACCACCCGATTTCCATAACTTCCATAGGTTTACTCCAGCTATTCCCAGGAGAGCAAGAGCACCAGTAATATAGACACCTATTTCCCACCCAGATGGATTTCTTATGACTGGAAGAAAACAAAGTTCTAATTAGAAGAAAGCACCCACCAAAGCCTCTTTCCATCTTGCAGAAATATTTTATAATAGTACAAATATGCCTTTTATGTGATTAATGCTGTGGGAAAAAGGGGGAAATTGATATGCCCCAACTACAAGGAGATTTTTTTTTTTTTTTTTTAGAATTGTTGTAAAGTAGCTTGAATATATGGCAAAGCCCAAGTATGTTTTTATTTTCAAAACTGAATGACAGCAGCATTATGTACGCACATACTGTATTCAGCAAAAATGTAATGGCTTAATAATCTCTATTTAGAACCTCTGAAAGAACTTCTGAAACATATTTGCTTTTTTAATCTTTGAAAATCTTTTTTCAGGTTGAGTATCAATTCTTAAAATTGACCAATTTCTCCTCTTAGTGTTCAGGTTTTTTCCCACAGGATTTTGAAGGAGAATCTTTAAATGTTCTGCCTCCTTATTTGTATGGACATGGACATGAACAGCAATTTTCTTTTCAGCACAAATGTATGGCCAAGATTTCAGCTTCATATTCATGAAATATGTGAACAAATAAACTCTAAAACAGTGATATGCCAAAGGCTAATAGTATAACCATGGTAACATACAATTTCTTTGTATATCTAAGGTTTTTGTTGTTGCCGTTTTCAATTGTTTTTCTATTCTCCCCAACCCCCAACCCTCCCCAAAACCCCAAAATGAGACCTGGAAGCTCTTAAGACTACAACCCAACTGTATGCTTATGGGTGGGTGGGGGGTGGGGGGAAGAAGAGATGGAAGCAGAGAAATAAATGACTAGTAACCATTTGAGAGGTTCTGGAAGAATGACAGGTTTATGGTTTCTTTCAATAATGGGTAATCTAACATGCCCATTTATTCTCCCCATACATCGTTTTACAACAAACATCTTATATGGCACATTCTCTGTGCTTCCTAGTATGTATCACTAAGTTACTCTCACATATACGTTAATAAACTTATCTAGTTTGTCCTTTAGAGCTGAAATGATTAACTAGAAAAACATGGGGCAGATGTTGAAGACCACATACTGTTTAAATGCCCTTATTTATTCTTGGGATAAAATAGGTTCTCCCTCATTTATGGATGCTGAGTTCACAAATGCCTGCTAGACAGAAGGGACATCACTCTTGTCAAGCAAGGGGAAATTCACCTTAATGAACACTTCTAAATAATGTCTGAACCAGTTCATTAAGTATTCAAGATACTCACCATTGAGTTGCTGGTCAGCAATGTCACTATCCATGGTGACTACTGCAAATTATACCAGTTACCTGCAAGAACATACAAAGAGAAGCCAAGGCAAAGAGATTATAGTATTGTGACCATGCAAGATTGTCCACAAAGTACACAAGGCTTGCCTTATATGTAGGGTCACTTAAGACCACTGATCTTTTTTCTGGTTGACCCCATACTTCTTCCACAGTCATTATCACAAAAAAGAAATGTCATTCCACCACAATTTATCACACATTTATGAGACTGTGAAAGCAACCCTTTTAAATTTGAACTTTTTTCCTGGAGAACATAATCCTCTAATGCTACTTACAGCAGTGCAAACAAAAGCCTTTGCGCCTACCTTTAATGTGTGCATCATCCCATGAAGGTGATGGAAAGATGTGAAGGCAAGCAGTAATATTCAATCACATTACCATTTCCTCATCCCATTATGCTACTAGCATAGTGCTATATCAGCTCTATATAGGAGCTTATCTTCATTATTAAAAAGACTCCTTATGTGAAACAACCATTCAGTAGTAGACCAGTACAAGATCCCTCATTATTGTTAGCATAACGCCAAAAAGGGTCTCACTTTTCCAGTTCTAGGATTCTAAACTCCAACACAACCATATAATAAAACACAGGCTTTGGTGTTTAGTCTCCCCCCCACCCGCCGTCTCTGTGTATGTTGCTTTAATGCGTCTATTTCATTCTATTTTATTTAAGATTTATTGGGTTGGATTCAAACTGAACTGTTTACACTTCGGACTCTTAAAATTAATGGGTTAAGTTAGTCATGAGTTACTATAGAATTGATTTATCATCTACTAAACTTCAATGCAATTCAAATCAATGTTACCAAAGCATTATTAGCTTTCAGTCCATCAAAAATAGATGGGGCTTATTGTCAAATAAACATGTATACCATTGCAGCCTTAGTCAATCCAACCCACTATGTTTACAGAAAATTCAGATGATTAAGAGGGCTGCTACCTGGTTTCCAGACAAGTTACTGGTCCTTTAATAGATGTGTGATGGCCAACAATTCAAAGACTGCAACTTTCCCAAATATGAGCTGGGAGAAAATTGATTTTTGTCAACCATGCAGGTATTATAAATCTGTGCCAGAAAAAAAGAAGTGTATGGGGAACCCTACTGGTTAATAGCTAGGCTGATTAATCTGCATCTTGAGAGCATTTTAAAATTCTGCTGTAGACATGACTATTATGGATCAGTTGCTGCTGAGAATTCAGACTACAGAGGTTTCATTTCACGCAGTCAGCCTTATGTTAAACACTTCAAGCTGACTGTAACCAAACAGTGAAAGCCATTGGGGAATGTGGAAAGATTCAATGACAAACTTAAATTCTGTAGTATGATTCCCTATGGGAGGGTTGTAACCCATTTTTTTTTTAAAAAAAGACAAGTTGGCAAATACAGAAAAGCTTTGAGGAAGAGAAAATGTGTGTGTATTATTTTAAGTTTCTAATTTTTAATGCTAATACAAAGTTGCTTTAATTGATGGAGCTCATCACCAGGGTTCCTCCCCTTACACTAATATGGAACAGTTTCCATTGGGAACTATGGCAATCATATTAATTAAATCTTGAAACCTGTATTATAAAACTCTTCTTAGCATCATTTGTGTCCTGAAACAAGTTTAAAATCTCAGTTACTGTCCTGGGGATTTATGTGAGACTTATCTTTCCTATCTTTGGCATTCCATGAATCACTGCTACATGATGTTTTGTGGCAATATTTCATTAAGATTTGATTCTCAAATAGGATTGGAGGTCACTGACTGCTGAAACCTTGCAAGAGCATTTTAAGTAACCTGTCAATGGGGAAGTTCTGTTTTATTTTGCATCCCTGATGTAAAGCTCTTTCTTTGTTTACTGGTGTAGAATCACTACATTATTCCATTTCATATCCAGCTGATGAATTGTTTGATAAGGATTTCCCTGAGATCTTCCTGTTTAGCCAATAATCTTTTCAGTAGTTCCCACTGTTTAACACAAATAATTTCTATGAAGATTTTTTATTACAATGTTAAATGGTCAATTTCATATTCTGAAGCTTGGGAAAAGAATGTCCTAAAATTCCTGAATCTCAATATGCTGTGATGTTTGTGTGTATGTCTGTGTACAGCATACATATACACACAGACATACACTTTCATTCTCTCTCCCTCTTTCTCTCTCCACCCCCCCCCAGCCCCCCTCAAGACTTCTGGCAAAGTAACCACAGTCTAATTAGGTCTATCTTGGAAAGTTTCCCAGGCTGCTTCACACGCAACTGATCATGGAACAGCAGAGACTTCACACCAGTGGATGAACATCCTGCTACAATCCTGAATGTGAGATTCCATACATAGGAAGACTCTCATGAAAGATAACAGGCCCAGCCATAATCAGCCAATCAGTCCAGTCAAGCTGGATTTGCAGGACCATGGAGAGTTCTGAGTAACAACTTGCTCCAGCATTCAACTGGGGCTTTAGAGCTCCTCTAGATAAATCAGATTACCTTTTCCAGTCTCTACTTTCTGATGGAAGCCAAGTTTTTAAACAGTCTCTGGGCCTCCTGTCAGTTTCCACCTGCCTGAACATCACATCATATTGGCAAGAAGGCAATCAGATGAATCTGGATCAGGAGGCTCAGTTTGGTCTGCTCCCCCAAGGAGCTGTTCAGTTTTGGTGTTATAAAGTTTTGGTTTGCATCCACCACCTTTATAATCTGCATTACTAGGTCACCTTATCTGTCTTGCTCCTCTACTTCTGAATTAGAATTATGTTCACTAAGGTTAGGCTCAGGCCAATGTCAAGCTGCCCATTCCCACCTTCCAAAAAGAAAAGGAAAAAACCCTTGAAGTTCAAATAAAGGTTATTTTAAGTCTAAACCCAGGTTTCAGTTTACATAATCTTTTAACATTTCAGTTTACACAATCTTTTTATACAGCAGACTATTTTGTGTTAATCATGAGGATCACAGTATTTAAAGTAGTAGGAGACTTAGTGGCATGTCCTTGTACAATTTTGGCTTTTTATAATATAAATATTAAATATACTTACAACTCAAGAAAGTATCTGTTTTTGGTAACTATAATTTCAAAGTTTTCACAAATTTAGTTTACTTTACACACTGAGTTACCAAGTAAAATAGAAATACTGTGCAATCCAGGCACATTACAGCGAGGTGACAAACACATACCATTGTTAGATACAAATTCAGTACACAGTCAAGATTCTCCATACAGATACAAAGGGAACGTATGCTGTTTGTGTTTATACAAATTCTACAAATTAATCAATATATTACATATTCATGTATTGAAATGGTGGTTTATTTATTTATTAAATGTACCAGGCTGCCCAACTCTGTTGCAACTATGGGAGGAGTACAATATAAAACAAATAAAAAATACAAACAAAAGAGCAGGCATCGAGGGAAAAAATCTCACAAGTTCTAAAACGAGCAATAAAGCACACAAGAAGTTCACACCTACTCTAGCCTAGAGCCTGGGGGAAAAACTAGGTTCTAAGAGCTTTTTTAAACAAGTTCAAGGTGGGACCAAACACATTTCTGGAGGAATGCTCTTCCACAGGACAGGCACTGTGACAGAAAAAGTGTGCTGCTTAGGTCCCATCAGATGATACTATTTAATGGATGTGACCTGGGGCATGCCAACTCTGTCTGATTATACACAACAGGTAGAAATCATGGAAAACAGATGGTCCTCATATAACTAGGCTGCATGCCATGAAGGGCTTTATTACCAGTATCAGGAGCCTACTGGTAACCGATTTAGTTACAAAGCAGTGGTGTTAAATGGGCATTTCATGGCACCCCTATAGCCACCCATGCCACCCCATTCCGGACTAGATACAGCTTCTGAATGGTCTTCAAGGGTAGTCCCATGTAGAGTGTATTGCAATCACCCAAATGCAAGGAGACCAAAGACTTAAAAGCTTCCTGGCCCAAGTAATGGCACAATTGGTGCATTATATGGATGTGTGAAAGCCTTCCTGGTTACAGCTGCCACTTGCTCGTAGAACAAGATCTATGAGCCCAAGAAGACCCCCCCCCCAATTGTACACCACTTCCAAAAAGGCAAGTGCAACCCTGTTGAGAGCTAAAGATGGAACATCTCCAGTCCTGGCTATTCTAAGTATCCACAGCCACTTGGTCTTGTCATGAGCCTGAGTCTGTTCCTCCCCATCCGGACCCAGGACAAGATCTTAACAGCATTGCTTGATCAGCCTGATGCCAAGATGTACAACTGGGTATTATCAGCATAATGATGATAATTGAACCCAAACTGATGGATGACCTCACCCAGTAGCCTCACGTAGTTGTTAAATTGAATGGGTGAGAATATTGAGCCCTGCGGCACCCCAACATCATGGCCCTCAATCTCGATCTCTCCTGCTGCCAACACCAACTGGTCCTGACCACAGAAAAAGGAGATTTACCACAACACTAGGCACCTCACTCCTGAATGTCATGCAATCTGGGTGGTCCAGAAGCATACTACAAGGATGCCAAGGTTGCTGGTATCAGAGATCAAGGAAAATCAGGATGGTTGCACTAGCCCCATCCTGACTCCACCAGGTATCATCAACAAGCACCACCAGTGGTCTTTCAGTGTTATCTGAAATGTGACCCAAGGAATCTAGATAATCTGTTTTCTTCAGGGCCCTCTGAAATTGCAAACCAACCAACTTCTCGACAAGGAAGAGGTTGGAGACTAGAAGAACTATAGATAGCCATGGAGGGGGTTGTCCTGGCTATCCTGAAAGAGGCAGTGGTGTGCCCCCTCCTCAAGAAGCCATCACCAGACCCAACAGTTCTGGACAATTTTCATCTAGTCTCCAACCTCTTCCTTGTTATTCTTACTGCATATATTCCTTACTTCTTTCCTAATGTCTACCAGTCTCCCTGTCAGGATTTTCTTTCTCATGGGAAAGGATTCATCCCAATATCTTTA